ACTCATGTAATCAAACAAATCGATAGTATCCATAATAAGAAGTGCACCAGAAGCTGTGTCCTCTAACACTTCAACACAGCCCAAAGTCACAGTGCCTCGCCCTGCATCACTTAGCCTGCTGAACCGAAGGCTGCCATTAAATATGAACCTCGCATCACTCAGCCCTGTACCCCAGCGTGTAACCACATGAAGGGTAAAAGAGCACAGCCTGATGATTTGCCTGCACAGTGCTGATTTTGCCCCCTTTTGCCACTCCGATACAAAGTCTGCAAGCAGGATTAGATTGAATTTCTTTAAAATGGACAAAATGCAGGGTAAGGTGCTCGGGCAGCCTTGCTTCTGGAGTGGGAATTAGAATTAGCTTGCTACTTTGTGTTACCTGGTAAGTAGATAAACAACTGCAGGGGATGAATTTGTTACACAAGAGTAACAACAATAACAAAAAAAAAAAAAATCTTTGCATATTTAGCAGCTTAGCTAAATCAGTGCGGCTGAGTTAATGCATGTCCCTTGTTTTATATTGCGCAGCTAAACTCAGCTCAGGATTCACAGACCTTGAGTGCAGTGAAAATAGATTCTCGTCTTCTGCCTAAGGGCACCTAAACGTGTCTTTTCAGATTTGGTGATGGCTAGGTCTATGATCATTCAAGCGCTTCAAATTACATCAGGATGAAAAGGGGAAGGAGGTACATGGGAAATGAAAAAAAGAAAGAAAATGATATTCATTCTTCCCCCTTATCTACCTTTTACATCAGAACTTGCAGATAGGGCTTAGAATAGGTAATGAACTCAGGTCCCATTCTTCCACATGTGTAGGTAGCGCCAGGAGCCAAGAGTCGTGTCTATCATCAAGGTGGCGTGGCATCTCATAGAAGAGTCATTCAAATCTTACTGTGGAGCACTGACAGCTTTTTCTCATATCAGTCTTAGAGGGAGCATTTCACCACTACACAATGAAACACGACGGGTCTTGGGTTCAAGTGCTACTGTTGAGTGGTCAAAGAGGTCAATATGCCAAGATGTGTCGTGTCACACACACAGTGCAAACACACACACAGGATCAACACAGAGAGAAATGAGATTAAGCACACTTTCACAAACTCACGGTTGGTCACAGATACAAACACGCAGGAGCACTTAAACACGCATGCCACATAAAGGTCAGCGTGGGTCAGGAGGTCATCAGCATCGGAGGAGAAGTAGGGCAGGGGGGGATGAAGGTGGTGCTTTATAGCACCACGGCCATATGAACACATCAGAGGAAATCTGAGGAGCCATTAAAATGCCTGCTTTTATGGGTGTAATAATCCCTCTGCCGGGCCTGGGAGTGCAGCCACAGCTTCAGTGACCATCCAGATTAGGTGGGAGGACTGACAGGAAACAGGCTAATGTAAGGGAGCTCTGAGAGCCCAACAGGACCACGGACACGGCTTTATGCCTCAGTCACAATGGGGTGTTTTGCTGTAGAGCAGAATATACTGTGTATACAGTTCAGCACAACACGTTTTTAGACTAATTTTTTTTTCTCCTGGCTTTTTCAAATGTCCAGGGGGAGTCACCTAAAGTCTTTGGCTATTCAGACACAGAGCACCCATTGGAATTTTTGCTTTGCGGAAGGCTTTTGATAAGAAGTCATGTTTAAAATCAATCTTGATATGTTTTATTTTATCTTGACTGTTGAAAATTGTTTTCTGTGCAGTAACTTCTGAAAGTCTTAAAAAAATAACAATCTCTTCAAATTGCGTTATGGAAACATAGCTTTTACCAAATACATCTCAATACTACAATTCAGGAATTCTGTGTAAACTCAGCAATGATCTAAGGCTTCTGAGGCCGGAGGCTTTTTTACCTCAGCTGCTGAAGAAACCAGTCATTTTAAGTCAAAATGATAATAAAATTGGATGGACAGACATTCTGCTTTTATTGCATTTGTTGATATAAGAAAAACATAATCTGGAATCTGGAAAATGCTTAACAGGGCTTGAAAGATTAAAGCACACATGTTGCATCGGGTCATAATGGGTTGGTTAAAACATTCTATGTTTTTTTTCAGAAAACAGTTAAAACTAGATTTTATTAGGCTTTTCATTTCCCTTTGTTAAACTTTATGTAATTCCAGTGAAAGACTGTGTCTTTTGCTTTTCTTCGGTGCTGTGTTACATAAAATATTACATAAATGCTCACTGTCTTGTGTTGTATGCAGAGTAAAGAAAGACATAATAACAGTCCCAATACTGTAGATTTCATCCTCTTCCCTCTTGCCGTCTTTGTCTTCAGACTGTTTTTGTTTCCACATTATTTAAAGCTCGGGTTATTGTAGTGGATCTTTGAAACACTGCTGTATAACCTTGAGTCTTGGCATTTATATTGATGTTACCTGGTATGGTACAACCTAGTGAAATATTGTTTAAAATCAATGTACCCATCCGCAGAAAAACACAAGGAAAAGTAAAAAATGGTGTAGAAACCGAGAGCCTTACCAAGAGTCAAACTTCCTAAATCCTCATTGAACAAGAGGAACAAAAACTCTTTTACAAGGGCCCTAACCTCAAACACCCAACAGGTTACACTACCAACAGAGATCTCATGTCCACGTCACAACTGGTTAGAGCAGTGCCCCTTATTAAGCAGCTTATTTAAATGTGGAGTCAGAACTGTGTGGAACAGAGATGATATAGGGTTAGCTTTTACCAAATTCTACTTTGTCCTGACATATTGATACCTGCAGGGAAAAGCCCCATTTTGACAAAGACTCAGAAAAAAACAAGCACTGCACCCAGGAAACAACATAAAGTGAATCTGACATTGCGTCACGCAGTAGCACTCAGTCAGCCCTCATCCACATAGAGCAGAGTAACCCAGCAGCCCTCATCACACTGAGTTGCAGGGCCTGAGTTCAGGTTGCTGCCTCTGACTCCAGGGCAAGACTTCAAAGCTACAAAAGCCGCCCAAAGTTGAGCAGCAGTGGGAGAGACTGTTCAAAGGAATGTTGCCTGTTTACTATTGACTTTGCAACAATTACCCAAGCATATGTGTGTGTAATTAGATAAGGCAGCCAGTTGTTCTCTAATGCGGCAAATCAAATTAACTAAAGATGCCACATTGATTTCTTTGTGTTCCCTAAATTATTCATCTTCACTTGCACTGAACCAGCCAGAGTGCCACCAAAGAGCTTTTCTAACTCCACTGCATCCCTGATCTCGTACCGCCCTATACACACTGATTGTTTAGCAAGAACTTTCCAAGTACCTGTATACCATATTTTTTACAATCGCAATTCAGCTAATTGACCCTCTTGAAAAGAGTGTATTTGCAGCGTTGTGGAAATAAAGAATTCCCATTAACGCGGACAGCTGTGACCTCTATTACCTGGTCGTGTTTTTGTGCAATACAGATAGCGGGAGGAGAACATTGGCTTGCGTGCTTGAGTGATGGCACGCATGACACTCCTGTAAGAATTCATGGAGCATGCAGGCTGCAGACAACCACGTCTCAGGCTGCCCCATTGACATCCTGTTCGCTGGCATGTTGCGCTTGGGGAGATCAATATGACCTTACCTACACCATCCGCTCCTTTGAAACTTAATTACTGATATTCAGCTACAAAGTCATCATAGTCTGGCTGTCAATATTCATTGGGGATCATTACGGGCCTAATAAAAGAGGTTATTTACGGGCTGCTCTGCTGACACCAGCCTAGGTCCAGAGATTCAGCTCCAGCCATCTCAATTTGCTTTGCCTCTCCCCTCTCTCCCTCTCCCAGAAGCACTGACCTGAAAAATAAAAATTGACAGCAGAGAAACGAACAGGAGAGAGGATGGAGGAGGGACTCCTCTGGCATGGCTTTTAATTCTTTCGGAGGTCTTTTCAGTCTGTGGAAAATAAAAGAAAAAGTTGAACTTCGCTATCCACCAACATTAATTTCACATTCACACAGGGAGATTTCGTGATATTTAGAGAAACCGCACATTTTCACCGCTCACAGTTGGATCATCACTTATTGTGTTTTCAAGGCCACTCGACTATTATTCAGGTTTCTCCAAAGAAAAGTCATTTAGTTCGTACCAACAGCAACAGCATGCACTGCAGAACTCCCACTCCTGACATTGTACAGCAACAAAGAGTTGTGTGATTGTTGGAGATTGCTATATGTTAATTCACTCGATAAATCAATAGACCCACTGTAATTGAAATGGTTTGCCGTTTGAGTCAACAAAAACTGTGAAGTGGAACAGTGAACTCTGTAGATCAGAAGAGGTATTGCATCCAGGAAAGTCACCTCGGCTTACGTTCGGACACAAGCAGAAATGAAGTTCAACCTTAGCTTACAATATTTATTTCCACACATGTGTGTGCGCGTTCACACAGGCCTCTACATTTCCCTTTGTGTCTAGATTAATACGGTCCACTTTCCATCAGTCCACTGGATGCCAGCGCACACTGTGCTGCCTTCCTTGGGCAATTAGCGGAGGGCTCCACCAGCATTGGATTATCAACAACAAGATGCCTCCTGACGCGAGCCCCACAGCCTGCTGACTTATTCATACGTGTTTACTTTAAAAGCTGCTGCCCTGGTTTTTCTTGGGTGGGCTGCCTCCGAATCAAAATAAGATCAACATCTAGGGAGAGAAGAGGTGGGGGATGAGACAGGCAGGAATATTATGCCCACAAAGAGGTAGCTGAAAATAAAGAGGGAAGAGAGGGACACTAGGGGAAGATTGGAGAATATGAGAAATCAGTTTCACTTGACATAGAACATTCACACCTGGGCAGTTTTTATCTGTAATTGTTGGTCCGTTGATGTGGGTTTATGCGGTTTTCAGTTGGGATCAATAGGTTCTGCACTAGTTGAAATCCTTTCATGCAAAAAACATAAGATACCATTCATACTGAAATATTTTTGCATGTACCTTTTTAATCTCATGTGAAAGGGTGAATGATTGAATGTTCTGTCAGAATCTCCCTTAATACATTTCCATCTGTGTCTTCCTTGCCTGTAGAGACCCCAACAAACCAGTTCCCCAGGACACCAAGTTTATCCACACCAAGGCTAATCGTTTTGAAGAGGTGGCATGGTCCAAGTATAACCCTCAGGACCAGCTGTACCTGCACATTGGCCTGAAGCCGCGTGTGCGAGATCACTATCGTGCCACTAAAGTGGCCTTCTGGAAACACCTCGTGCCCCACCTTTACAACCTCCATGACATGTTCCACTACACGTCCACCACCACCAAAGTGCCACCCCCGGAGACCACGCAGAACACCCTGGCCACCAAGAAGTCCAATGGGAAAAGCTTGCCGTTTAATACCAAACGCCCCCCCATGTCCCCGGCGTATAACAGTGAGAATAAAGACTCTTGGAGCGATGATGAAGAGACGGGGCCACTTGTAGTTGAGAACCCTCGGGATTACTCCACAGAGCTCAGTGTCACCATCGCCGTGGGAGCCTCGCTGCTGTTTCTCAACGTCCTGGCTTTCGCAGCTCTCTACTACCGCAAGGACAAGCGGCGGCAGGACTCCGGCCACGGGCAGCCCAGCCCCCAGCGCCAGACCACTGCCAACGACATTGGCCACCACGCGCCCGAAGAGGAGATCATGTCGCTGCAGATGAACCAGACGCACCACGAGTGTGAGGCGGGGAACAGCAACGAGGGGGCCCTGCGCCTGGCCTCGCTGCCCGACTACACGCTCACTCTGCGCCGCTCGCCGGACGACATCCCCCTCATGACCCCCAACACCATCACCATGATCCCCAACTCTCTGGTAGGCATGCCCAACCTACACCCGTACAACACCTTCACAACCGGCTTCAACTCCACCGGCCTGCCGCACTCCCACTCCACCACCCGCGTATAGCTTTAAGAAGGCCAGGGGGGCAGCCGGCGCCGGTGGGCGGGGAGGAGGTTGTGGCCGGGTGGCGGAGGAGGAGCGAGAGGATAAACCAACGAACGGAGGAGAGGATTGTGTTTTATAAATATCACAGGGAGGGGGAGGGGCGGGGAAGGGCAAGAGTCGGATTAAAACGTATGGAGATTTAACCAGACTTTTACTATGAGGAGAGTTGCTGAGAGCTCTCTGTGGATGTCAAGTTGTGCAGAGCTGCCAAAATCAAACTGCTCCCCACTCTCCTGACGGAGGGAGGGGTCCTTTCTGCAGTGTTTTTTTTTCTAAAATAATCATTTTAAAAGCCTTTTTAAGCAAACTGTGGAGATATCAACACTTTTTTTCTCGTGTTCATAACAAAAACAAAGAGAAGTGCTTTTTATTTCCCATTCCTTCCTCCTGTTGGAGACACATTTAGAACAATGGCCTCTTCGTCAATATTCACAAAATGTTTTTAATAGCTTCTTTGTTTTTTGTTATGTTTCAATGCCTTATAGAGCTCTTTCTTTTTTGTCATTACTTTTACTCCCTGAGACTATTCCATGAAGAGTGAAATACAGGCAGATCAGACTCCAAGATGAGAGACCGAATCCAAGATGGGAATCGAGTGGATATGCAGATGTAGATTTTTAATCCCATTTCGGGTATCTAATTTTTTCATTTGATTTAGCTTTTGTATATTTTTCTGTTGCATTCCACCATAAATGCCACACAAAGGGCGTTCTTTGTTTTATTTGAATTTTTTTTAAGCTTGTATAGAAATGATTTGTGTTGGACAGCTCTTGCCAAGGGATGAGAAGACAGAGATAAATATTATGTTACTGTTGTTTTGTTAAGAAAAGTGCATCTTTTTTAGCCAATTCATCTGTTTAAACTCTCAGATATTATCTCCACAAAGTGTGCACGTACACATGCAGCTCAAAGCACCAGTGTGTGTGTGTACATCTGAGAATGATCTCTCATTTGCTGCGTGCAAGCGTGGTCCAATGACTGAGGAGAAGACACACTGTTTGAACTTGCAAATGCAAAAGTTGTGAGTGAGCAGGCTTGTGTTTGTGCGTTAGAGAAAGCGAGTGTGTGTATGTGTCCGTGCACCAAATTTTTTTTCTTTTCTTTTTTCTTTTTTTGTTTTCAGGTTACATAGTGCGGTTTATTTGTGGGGTTAGGATGAGTACTTTCTCATGTTGCTGATTTTGGCTCACCACCGGTAACGTTTCTGCTGTGTCTCTGGGTGTCTTTGCAACATAGCACTTTTGTTACTTTAAAGGTTATATATGTCTAATTTTGCTTAAAGATTACAAAATAAATATATTATTTTATGTGTAAGAGAAAAAAAATGCTAAAGATTCAACTGAACTAACTGACATGATTCCATTGACTTTGTAAGAGTTCCTCTTAAAAAGCAGACAGTGGCCTGTTTGCACTGACTAAACTTACATCAGTGCACACTTGTATTTCTTTGAATATATATATAAATATGGGCATACATACATATATGTATAGGGCTTCTATGAAGATATCATTCCCACCTACAAAACAATATAACATCTTAAGACTGAAAAGCACCAACACAAATAATTTCCATGTAATGTTGTTGTTGTCATTTGGAACATACCAAGCCAAGAACACTCAAGGTGTCTTTGTAAGAGCTCTATATGTATATTTATGTATAAAATATTTAATATTTATTTATGTATACCAGATGCATACATGCTGATTGTGCCATGTGCCAAATTAAAACTGTAAAAAAAAAAATGGAGAGCATAAAGTTTCACTAAACTTCTTCTCTTGATCAAAGTTTTTCCTCCCTTTTATGTCTCTCTTTTTGTTTTAATGAGTGAAAGAAATTATGTTGTTGCATGTGCAAAGCTCGCCTCAAATTTTCCTTGCCCCCTTTTTTGTGTTCCTTCTCCTCCCTCTCTCCTTTCTCTTGCTGAAACCTGGAGAATAACAGGCTCACAGCTTGGGGCCTATCTGTGTGCATAACTCCAGATTTTGCTGTAATTCATGCAAAGTAGTGCTGCAGGAAAGGGAGATTGTGAAAAGATTGCCTAGATGCACTCACATTGCATCCTATTATGTGTTAATCTCAGGGAGAAAACTGGAGTTATTGATTCTGCAAGTAAAACTGACAATTTTCATTAAGTATCTCTGTGCAACACAGATTGTGTCCTGTGTTAAAGCAAAGTGAAGTAATGCGACCTGACCAATGATCCTACATCAGCGTTGCAGTTTAGATACTCCATGCCATAAGACCTCAACATTTTTATGAAGTGTGCCATTACTGCTTCCCCTAGTGTTTAATGATTGGAGAGTCAGTCAAGCAAGAAGTGCATTCTGGTCAGCTCATCACAGATCCTGCCAGTAGCGGAAAGAGGAAGGGGTCATTTGAGGACACAAATCCATATGACTCATCTTGTTTTTGCTCAACCTGCCTGAAAATAAGTTCCTAATCAACCAACTGAGTCACAGTTACAAAGAAAGAAACACACATTAGGTTTCTGCCTGGCTGTGTCATACGTGTAGAGCTAAATTGAAAAATCTAAACCACAAAACGTAACAACTTTAACGGTATATTGATACAGATAGTTTTTTCAATTTACTACAAAATACAAAATGTAGAAATTTCTCATCATCAAAAATAGATAATTTAACTTATTCCATGAAAAGATACTCATACTCCAAGAGAAATACAGTACATTTTATTTACTTTTGCCTACCCTGTTTATTCTTTTTCTGCCTATTAAAGACAGATAGCAATTTTTAAGGAAAAGAAACTAAGTCATACAAGGCCGTATGCAAGTGGAAGTTATACAATGTATTATACAGTGTATTGAGACTCTTTAGTTTTTTTTACATTACCACCACTCACCAGGGTAGAACAAATTCTACTCACAGCCAGAATAGCAGTCTTAGCAGCTGTAGCACTAAGGTAGCCCATTAAGAGCACCAGGCTAGGCTGGAACCTACCGCTGTGGCTTGGCTGGCTCTCAGCTGCTAAAAGTCAGCAGCTGCTGACAGCGGTTTGGCAATTTGGTTGTCTGGTCAAAATGAATATTTAACCATTCAGATATTTGCAGGTGTGTGCAGCATCTGCTGTTTCATATATTTGTGCATTTACAGTAACTACTGCAGCATCTACAGATGGTAACCTCTGCTAACCTCTCTTCTTGACCTGGGTTTTCTTTTCATCATTTACTCACGAGCACGTCAGCTGGAAAGCCATCGCCTAAAGGAGGATTTCATTCTTCAAATGTTCTAGGGGGATTGTACAGGCTGCCTGACATGCATCTTTGAACTGTAGTGCTCTGTAGATCCATGCATACATCCATTTTCTATACCCGCTTATTAAATTCAGGTTCGCTGGGGATTTGGAGCCTGGCCCAGCTATCATCGGGCAAGAGGGTTCACCATGCATAAACCACCCGTCTGAGTTTAAAGTCAAAACAAAGACAAGCATACGCAGGCAACCGTCTCTCTCTCTGGAGCGGGATGGACCCTGCAGGGAACCTTTGTGTTGAATGGTTTCAATGCTTACCACCTGGTAAACCAGCACCGCAATTATCATAGAAATGTACGACAGAAAATTCAGTGACTTATTATTCGGTGACGGTATTAACTCCACTATCGACAGTCCTCCTCATTCAGAATGACATGTTGGACCGGTGGCCGGAAACACAGCTGGAAAAAATATCATTTAAATATCATTTTAAAAACCCATTAGCATAAAAAACAAATCTAATTTCTCTTTTATGTCTATTAGTCATTCAATATTTGATAATGCCGACTCCCTGCTGATAAAGTGAGAGCTCCAAAAATATTTACAGTATTTTTTCAATCTGTTGTGCTTCTGTTTTGTTTTTTTATGTTGGTGAAACAGACTTTTAAGATATGATGTGAATTGAAGCTGACTTTTATGTGGTGGTAGGAGGTCAGTTATTAGTGGTTTTAATGCACAGCTGCGCAGAGCTAAATTTAAGCAGAGAAAGTTGGGACTGAATGTCCTTGAGGGGCACCTTTTTTTTTTTTTTCCCGTAATTTCCCATACATTGCTAAAGAAGGACAGATGTCACTGAGTCTTGGCAGGGGTTAATCCGGTGACCCCTTTGATAGAGCGCCAGGCACATAGCCCTATGAAGAGCCACGTGAATAAGAGTTGAACTCAAACTAAACAACAAGACCGTCCACTCTTCATTTGTGTGTTGCAGCAAGAGAAAACAAGGTCAGACTCATTCAGCTGTCATATAACTGAAGGCTTGAAGAAATTAGCCCAAGCTTCCAATGACAAGAATGACCAGCAGGGGAAAAGTGGGACATTCAAGAGATAGACTCTTACAAAAGATTTGCTTGCAGTTCAGTGAGTGTGCTCTCAAAGTAACATCAGTCAAGAATGGGCCGGAATACCCGATGGGCTGTGTGACTGACTCGACAGCGCTGGAGACAAACCCAGAGTAGGAAATGCGTTTGCCAAATTACACACTGCCACCCGCTGGGAGAGAGCTGCAGGTGTGTGGGTGTGGGTTTCTCTATGTGTGTGTGTATGAAGATGTTGAGAATATTATTTCCACTGGATGTTGTTAACTGTATTTCATCTCACCTTCTGTATCACCTTCCTCTCTCTCCTCCCATGTCTCATTTGCCTTCCCTCTCTCGTTCCTCTTGTGTCCACAGATGTTTCTGTTTTTAAGAGTCTCACACAAAATACGATATAAGCAGCTCTGTGTCTGTCTCACATAGGCACAACCTGCCTTTTTTCCTCTTTCTTGTTCTTTGTGAGTGCCATAATCTAGACCGTTCACTTATATTACAGTGTAATTATCTTGACTCAGTGTGTTTCTCTGTGGACTAAGCTAATGAACTATTTTTCTTGGAGAAGCAAAGAGTCAAGGCACTGAACAAAAACTCTTGTATTTTAAATTCAGCTAGATTGTCTTTCCCAGAAGGGGAAACATCAATAATCTATTATTTCCATG